CTCTCTCTCTCTCTCTCTCTCTCTCTCTCATCCCGCCTGCGCCACCACTTTTGGCCACTCATTAGTAAGCCGGCCGTACGATCGCCTAATTAAGCGCACGAGCGACTACTTCTCTTTCGGCCATTAATGCGTTGACGAGACTTCCTTTTCTTTCCACTCAACGATCGTTCACGTGGTCGGATACGACCTGGCGTGTCTCGCTGAAGAAGAGAAGCCGAGTTCTCGCGGATAAGGTCTTTTATTCTCTCAACGCTTTCGTATTCTACGCGTCGTACATTGGCGTTCGAGTTTTCGAAATGGACCTCGATAATGAAAGTAGGTTCCTTCAACGTGGCTTAAAGTTTTACGAATACTTTTGTGTGCGTGCGTACATGCGCGCGACCCTTTGTCAGTCTACATAGAGAAAATAGCCGAGGCGATATTATGTATTTTCATTGAAAGGATCGGTATGAAAAGAAGAATTGAGTTCATCTCGTTCTTATTTTCTTATTTGGATTCGTGCTGATGCGCTGCCCCTCCTCCTTCCTCCCAGCCCCTCTTTAATAAAGATTCATTTATGTCTTATCATGAGAATGATAAAGCTTAATTATACAAAAGAGGAGATGATAGTACAATAATTGATAGTGGGAGTGTCATGATGACAAAAATGTTGAATATTCCGTAAATCGGTAAGTTTCTACAATTTGTTCTCCAAGTGGCATTCAAGGACCGAATATTAGGAAGCACAAAGAAAGCCGAAACATCGTGATTCGAGGGCTGATTTTGGCTTAGCTCAAGCACTTTAACTTAATCTCTTAGCTTCGGCAAATGAAATAAATGCAAGACAAATTATTAGGCGCGATAAATTATTCTTCTCCTCAGTCACAGATCCGTTTAATAAATAATACCGCAGTTCTGCTTAGCCTAATCAATGTATTAATTCAATGTTCGGTAGGGTCAGAAGTTCGATACTTGGATGCGTAATTATTGAATTCCATAATAATATCGAGCGATGCCATTGGAGTGGCAAATTTCCTCATTTATACGATCGGGGCGAGGCGATCGCTTTGAAAATTTGAGAAATATCGCGCACGTGGAAAGGACCTCGCCTCGTAACCATCACCCTCTTACTCCCGTCACGTTCTCAAAGTTTTCGAGGAATATTGATTTTCGAACGCTCGAATAATTAAGAACGATATTCGAACCGCGGGGTTAAATCACCGTGTAGTCGTGTAGCTTGGGGCATGTTAAATGATAATAGAGCGTGCGTGACAGTGCCTAGAGATATATCGCATTTCATTATTCTAATCTCGTTGCCGACAAGCATTGATCGTTTAATCAAACTGTGGATAAATCATCGACTTCAAAGACAAAGTTATCGCTGCCTAATGGGATGTTGCGCCGCGCAGCTGTGATTATTGGCTTCGAGAATCTAGAGCGGGAGAGAGAGAGAGAGAGAGAGAGAGAGAGAGAGAGAGAGAGAGAGAGAGCACAGTGGAGGTCAAGCCGATTGAGAGCCAAGGGTTTTGCAATTATGACGATAAATGCTCGTCAAGTGCTTTTCAATTGGAAGAATAACTCACCCCGACTGAAATGAAAATGTATTGCTGTTTCCCTCGAGTGCTCGCCCGTGGAATTGCCGGAGCTTTCGGCGGCCTTCGAAAATTAGATCCTCGGGCATTCATACAAGCGCTCGTTATTTCAATGATAACTTCCTGGCGATTTTCCCTACCTTTCAAATACTTTCTTATTCTTATAACGTAGACTACCATTTTTTCATTTTTATCGCTCTTGGTTAGTTGTACGTCGGATAATGTATTTCGTATACGTGTTTCATCAGCCTGAGAAATGCTCTCTATTTAATAAAGAGCACGTTTTTATTTTAAAAAGAAAATGCCGTTCTCATAACTGAAATATTCGATTCACTCGCTATTAAATTAAAAGAAATTTAGTCTTTATTAACTCGTACTCTCCCGTTTAGCTTCATTTTTTTCTTTACACCCCCAACAGAAATGTAAAACACACTTTTTTAACATAAGATCTTTTCAAATTTTAGAGAATTGGCGCTACATTGTAAAACTCTTTTTTACCCTCATTATTTATTCTTTTGTTTTAAACTTCGCTGCCTTAATATACGTTCATTATTGTAAATTGTAAATTTGCGATTTTTTTTTCTCCCCCAAATTGGGTTAAAAGAAATAGGAATTATTGTTGATTGGATAAAATAATGGCTGAGTATTAAGAGCACTAATGTGAAAGTTCGGTTTAATCCTCTTTAGGTATGAACCTTCGAAAGGGAATGAGGTAATATTCACGTATCACGCTTTTTTTTAGTTTAAGAAAAAGTATAATTAAAATATAATTCAATAAATGACAGAATTATGAGCCCAATGCAGTTAATATACTTCACGCTTTAAAATAGGATAATGCATAGTAGGCAAACGATATTTTTTATACAGTTTTCCGAGTTACTAAGTTAATTTTCGTTAAGCGGAAACTCGGGAAACACAGTTTTAAGCATTACACGCATCAATTTTCTCATCGTATAGATATGCAACAATACTACCATTACTGCAACAACTAATAATAATAATAATAATAATAATAATAATAATAATAATAATAATAATAATAATAATAATAATAATAATAATAATAATAATAATAAAAACAACAACAGTAGTAATAGCAATTTATTATGATTAATGTTATTGTTATTATTAAAAATAAATAAATAAATAAATAAAAAAAATAAATGAAAAACAAAATGAAAAAGAAAATAAAACCAATATCAGCGGTAACAATAACGATGATAATGATAATAATTAATAAGAATTGCTGCAAAAGCAACAAGAGCATCAACGATTATATATAATAATTATAACAATGCCGTTAAATTTAATAACAACAATGGCAATAATAGCAGTGGTAATTGTTATTATTACGACAATGGATAATGGATAAGTATTGAGCTCGCCAGGTGAGAACGATAGTCGAGCAATATTTATTAAAAGTCATGTAACGTCGCGGATGTAACGGCTAATAGGAAGAGTAAATGAATCTTAAAACTCGTGTGATTGTAAGCCACACACCGCACTTAATATAAATTTCATGGCCAAATCGTAAAAGATTTCGCCGACATCAGCTCGTGAAATTAAATATTCCAGGCCAAGTTTTTCTCCGTCAGCTCGACTCAAGTCTGGCAATGGGAAAAGGGGAAAAGGGAGACAGCAGGTAGGTCTCTTTAAAAGAAGAAGCAACTTGCCAAGGAAGCGCCGATCTACCCTTATAAAACAAACAGTTCAATCAGACGGAATAGCCGCCCCCTGGCAAACGCAAAAAGTAATTTACCTTCTCAGACGACCCGTGAAACTCTCTCGACGATAAAAGGAAGGCGTTCACCAGCTAGGCTGACACTCGGAGAGCATCGGCCCTCGTCCAGCTTGCCATTCTTCCTCAGCCAGTCGCCGAGAGATAAAGATCGTGTACCCGAGCCAAAAGGACAGAGACGATATTATACTTTGCAATCGGGCGAGTCCAGCAGCCCCGAGGACGCTCACTCCCGGGACGATACTCTATGGCTTCTATAAATAAGCGGCCAAGCGACGGTGGCGGTTACGTTGGAGGTGATCCCGTCCACCACTCTCATAGCTTCTCTCTCGAGGACCTCGTTGGCCAGCGCGCTAAGACCTCCCGGGCGCACGTGTCATGCCTCCCCCTCGGCGAATGCCACCGAGCACGTGGGCGATTATCGTGGGGCGCGCGACTTTACGAATGGACCACCGTCGCATGTGGCGCGTCGCGCACGACTGAGGACCGACCGAGAGCACCGACGACTTTCCACCATCCTCCCGGCGCGATCCACCCCCACCACCGAGGCTGTCGTGCAGCGCGGGCGGCAATCTCTTGGATGCCACCCCGGGTGCGCGCGCGCTCGTCACGGGTCTCTGCCCCTCCCGCCCGCTCCAGCCAAGTCTTCCCTTCTTCGGCCCAACTTTCCCCTTGTCCTTCGTCTCTTCTTATTCTACCTCTTCTCCTTTTCACTCTGCTGTTGCCGTCGCTGTTGGTGCTGGTGCTGGTGCTGGTACGGCTACTGCTGCTGCTGCTGCTGCTGCTGCTGCTGCTGCTGCTGCTGCTTTTGACTCGCTTTCTTTGTACATACTTGGGTGATGCGCTGCTTTTTGAAATGTCGTATTTGCCTTCTTTCGCTCCGAGTGCTTTACCTCTTCTCGTTCGCCGCCACTCACACGCGCACACCCTCACACGAGCGTTCCCTCTCCCTCTCCCTCCTGGGCTAACACAACCCTCGCACCGCGGTTCACGCTATTCACCCGTCGTCCCTCGCTCATCACCCCCCTCGCCCCTCACGACCCTGCCCCGTCGTCGCACAACTCGGACCTCTTACGATCTTTTGTTTACTCCGCTTCCAAGTATGTCCTACTTAACGTAGCTTCACTCGTCCGCCTTTTGAACATATTAATATCTGCAATTAAAATGCCTTTTGCCATTATTGCCGTGTTTTACATGCTTAACAACGCACTTCTCTCGGGCTATTAAACGACTCCAATTGCCGACGAGCTCACTTGGAAAAAAGGACCCAAGTCTTGGCCATCGAGTATATTAAAATTTGCTCATTGTGCTTTTACAACTTCGTAGAAATTTAATGCGCGTCGAGGCATAATGAAAGTAATTATTAAAACATCGCTCCTACGACTCTAACTGTTACATATCATTTTTGCGCGATATGTAGACTTTATATAATAATGACTTTAATTTGCGAGATTTTTTATTAATCGAGCAACGAAACTCGGTAGGATCCGAAGTAAAAAAACAAAACAAAAACAAAAAGAAAACAGAGAGAGAGAGAGAGAGAGAGAATGAGAGAGTGAGAGAGAGACGAATCGAGATAATAATAATAATAATAATAATAATAATAATAATAATAATAATAACAATACAATATTACTGGATAACTTTTAAATTGGATAAATTTTCGAATTACTTACAAAGACCTTTAACTTTCAAATATTTTCCAATATTTTATCTATCTATAATTTCAGCTTCCTCGTTGTCTTCTTTTATTTCCTCTCCGTTTCTTCAAACGTGTTCTTTCTCGCTCGTGTGATGCTATTAGTTTTTATACTTGTATTTGTCTTTTTCTTCCTGCTATTTTACTTTCCTTAAACTTTTCCATTCTATTTTCCTTTCCCGTCTTGTTTACTCCTCCGTCGATCTTTTATATTTCTCTCTTATCACGGATCTTTTTCATCGCATTAAAATTTAATTGACATTTAATTGAAGGTAATGCCATTTTCTTGGTTAACTGCAGTTGCCGGCTTATTGTAAATATAAAATTATGTTATTAATTAGTTTATCGAGTTGTCTATCGAAGGCTCGTTCTGCTTAATGAAATTTCAGAGCCGAAAGAACAGATAATGTAATTATGGTTAAAGCTTCTCATAATATCTGTTTTTTTTTTGTTTTTTTTTTAAATTACGATAAAGGCACGTGTCATTTATTTAAACTACTCGTAATCCGTTCAAATAAAAGTATCCAAACTCTAAACAATATCACAGCCAACTACTTTTTAAGCAATAAATTACATTAATTTAGAAGAAAGTACGGGACACTTTCCAATAACTTTGTCCCGAGGTAGTACATATGCTCACACCTTAAGTACACTACGGTCTACCGTCTACCGTCCAGCTCTCTTTGAAAACTTCTTCCCGTAAATCAAAGATGAAAAAAAAAAAGAAGATAATAAAATTTTTACCTCATTTATCACCATTTACAATCATAGGATGCATTGTATTACGATTTGATCGATAAACTATTTTTTAAGAAAGTCATTTATCTAGATAAATAACGTGAAAGGAAGTGTTGGTCAATGCAGTCAACGATGCTTTCATTACGATTAGGAATATTTATAAAATTGGATTGAATTTCGTAAACAGTTTTCGTTCGTTTTTTCGTTTTTTTTTTTTTTTTTTTGCTTTTTCACCCATCTAACAAATAATTCTCGCATTAACGTCGCTGTAATTAATGTCCCGATAGTCCTTGCAGATAATTGCGCGAGTAGAGACGCGATAATCGACTGGCAATAGGAAAAGTGGACTGGACCACTTATTGGATACGGTTTGCCTGCGCTTTGGATAAAATCCATAATAAAGGAGGGAAAACTCGAAGACTAATAAAAAGGGCGCCCCATGAGTGCGAGAGAGGCAAATTCGTCGCGAGCCATCGAGTGCCGTCGTCGTAAATAAGAGCAGCGCAGAAAATGAAACAGAGTTGGCGACCGATTGCAAAAGGGATTTTTAATAAAGTGCCGCTCGTGCTCCCCGCCCTTTGTAAATATCCGTGGCATTTTTCTCATCTTATCCGCGTTTCCGGCGCAGACCAGGTGCTCGTGAGCGGCACAGGTAATTGCGCCGATGACATCCTAGCCCCCGGCCTCATTGAACCGAGGGTCGCCCATAAATATCGAGAGCAAGGGAGCAGGAGAGAGAGCGAGAGCAATAGATATCGATAGAGATAGAGATAGCGATAGAGATAGAGATAGAGATAGAGATAGAGATAGAGATAGATAGATAGAGAGAGAGATAGAGATAGAGATAGAGATAGAGATAGAGATAGATAGTGTGCGAGTGTCTGCGAGAGAGAGAGAGAGAGAGAGAGAGAGAGAGAGAGAGAGAATAGAAGCGTCGCTCAGCGTGAAAGCTGTCTTTTCAGCGTGTCGGGAGCGATGCATCGTGCATTGTGCCTTATTGACTGTCCGCTCAATGAATTTCGCCTCGGAGAGAGCAGATTTTCAAAGCTTCGCCGGTGTGGTAGGGGTCGTGAGGGGAAGGGGGGTGGGGCGGGAGAGGTTGAGCTCTCATCCTCGCGTTCGTGAACATGTCAAGGCAGTCGGAAAATCTTGGACTAGAGAGGATCCCCGACTGTGCGCGGCTTCGCTCTATTTTTCAGTCTGGTTTGGGATCCGTTTTATGTAATCCTGGATGCAGTTCCTACCCGCGTTAAAGTGTCCATTGTGCGAGCGTGTAATTTTTAGTCTCGTGTATATGTTTGTATGGTTGCGCAAGCACCCAATTATTCTTATGCACACAACTCGTGTCCTTTACTTTGGTTTCATTTTTTTTCTTCTAGTTTATTTTACTTGTTGTTGTCGTTGTTCTTGTTTTGTTTGTTTGTTTGTTTTTGTTTTTGTTTTTGTTTTTTTTTGTTTTTTTTTCTGTCTTCATATTGATTATACAAATGGTCGTAATAGATGAAAGTATCGCTACCAATATCCCCTGACCAGCGTTTCATCATCTTCTCGTTCTCCTTATTATGATTCTTTAAGATTTTGCCCAGCAAATATAATAAATTATTCAGGTTTAAAAAATATCAACCTTATCAGTGCACGAACGCGCTAAATTATTCAAAGGACTAAGAGTGCATAAGCAAGAAGAAACGAAGAATGTGAATTAAAAAATGCAAAATCGAGAGACAAGCCAGGCTCTCGTGCAGCTTACATACAAAATAAACTTTTTACATAATTGAAAATTAGAACTTTATTCCGACTTATCTTATGATGCCTTGTATTATTTCATATTGTAATTGGCTCTGTGAAGGTAAACATCTGTAATTACATTTGCCGTATTAAATATTCAGTACTTTAATAAGGGCGAGAGTCAAGGCGCGTATTTAAAAATGATCCGTAGTAAAAATCTTTACGATACCACCTCGTCTCGGTTTTTAATGCTAAACCATCTTATTGACTTGGAAAAGCTAGTTTCCTTATTTCGGTTGATCTATCGTGATTTTATTATCGCGCGCATGGACATTAGGCGAATTATACCTTCTCTGCCAAATAGCCTGTAAAATAATGCCGGTGCTATTACTTTAAAAACTACTCGAATGTATGTATCCACATGCATCAAGATGTCAAAGAGGGTTTGCCAAAAAGATTCTTATCTCGAATATACAATGTCTGAACGACTCGGAGGGAAATAAAATGATACCAATAGGGGAGGAGGGACTGAAGTAGTTCCGTCAAAGCCTAAAGCACAGTTGTATCAAAGTATTTTCTCGCTATGTAACTTTAGTCACTCCTGGTGCTCTAAGCACGCCCAAAACTTAAGTAAATGACAACGTGCAATAATAGAAGACAAAATTTCAAGTTGAGGCTGCCGGCATGTAAGATTATAACTTGGGCAACTTGTTTCTTTTGTATTAATAAAGTTTGATGGCTTTTAATAAAATGTATTATTTACTTTGTAATAAAGAAATTCACGAATGCCGTAAATCAGTGCGAGCGAAGGGAATTCCATAAACTTACAATTGGGGAACGTTAATAATTTCAGTTTTTTTTTTTTAAATATTCTCCACTTGCCTTATATTTATTGTTAAAAATATTCATTTATCCGTCTATTTATTTCATTTATCGGTCGATTTACGATATACGATGATTTACGAAGTATAGATTGTACTTTAATCGTTAGGTGGCTCGAATTTTCAAGCAATTAACTTTTTGTTTAATGACGCATCCGAGCGTTTAAAACATAATGTGTATTTCCCTTATTTATAAATATCCATTACAATTCGCATAACATTCGCATAACGTTCGTATAAATTACATTGCGAAGGAATAACAAACTTCTTAGATCATTG